GGAGAGCGAGAGGAATGCGGGGAGGCCAGAGGGAGAGGACGGTGGGGGGGGGCGTGACGGCGAGGGGAGAAACGGAGGGGAGGGACGTCGAGGCTGAAACCGAGGGGCGGCGGAGTGGCAAGGCCGACGGAGTAAGAAGGATCCGCTCTCCAAAGCGCCAGGTACGCGCAGGATCACCTCACGAGTATCAGGCTGAGCACAATGAACAATCAAAAAACAACCTCATGGGCTCGACATATCGGTTTAGGAAAGGCGAAAGGATCATCACGATAAGCCACCGATAACTATATATATATATGTCCCAGTCGTGCGCAATGAACTACACGGTTCCGATATTGAAGCGTTTGCCAACTATCGCACACATCATGACGAACATGCATTTCTTTGCTGAGTTCTCGACGTGGAATTGTCCCCGTCCTTCATGATTATGAGAAGCTCGTCGAACAATATCATGGAGCGCCTCGGGTTCTCCGTCTGTCTGCTGCAGCTCCTGTTGCACTGTCTCCCAAGCATCGTGAATGTGCTCGCGCTCGGGATCCAGTCCAAAACTCTCCTGGTGCGCACCCTCGTGGGCGTCTACCCCCACAGGGGACCGTCCTGAAGTGCCACGAAAACTGGCAAGGCACTCTTCTTGTCCACTTGGCTTGATACGAGCTTGATGGGAGCTGGAAGAAAGGAGAGTGAGGACGAGGACGAGGAGAACAGGGGATCAACCAGGAGGGAGGAGGGAGAAGGAGGGTGGGGACGATGGAGGGAAGGAGGGAGATTGGAAGAAGAGGGGGTAAGTCGTGGTCTCCAGGAGTCAGTCGCTGGAAGCCTCTTCTCCCAAAGCTCCAGTGCGTGTCCTCCGCCTGCGGGTCCGTCTGGACCGCACCTCCGTGCAGGGCCTGCGCCGAGTGGCGCTCCCCGAGGCCCGTGGCGGCGGCCCGGTCTTCCTTCGACTCGAGCTCCCCACCCATCGTTCTGACGACACATTGCGATTCTGCTCAAGACATGCTGGGGCATTCTGTCAGGTCGTACTGGTGCCACGCGCTGCCATCGCTGGACGGCTAGACCTGCGATCCGAGGCGCAGGGTCTTCCGGACCTGCTGCCCATGGGGACCTGCTGTCGCTGAAGACTTCCTCCGGCAGGGCCACCTTTGCTGGCGTCCCTTCCTCGGCTGTCTCTGCCTGCCGCTGCCTGCGGACTACGAGTCTTCAACAGCCAAATGCCCACAGAAGGCCAAAACTGGAAACCTGATGGGCTGCATGCGAAATGTGTTGGTTGTTGTTCGAACTCGTCGTCTTCTCTAAGGGCTCCAATCATTTGCTGTCTTGCTGTCTTGCTGTGAACATCGTCCAACTTACCGTGTATTGAACATGCGTCCCAGCTGCAGAGGGAACGGGGGGATGACCTCCGCAATGATACGTAAGCTGTTGGTTTATGCTATTCGGGCGTGAGCGCGGCGAATTCTTACTCTTCTTTCAGCGCTCGCAGAGGTCACACAGAGAGGCAGCACACTGCTGAGATTCATGGCCACCTTACGTGGCGGGCAGGGTAAGCAAGCACGGGTACTGGATGCATGGCCTCCTCTCCTCCTAGCCTCAAGAAAGACTGCAAGCCCTGAGGTCCTTAGGGGGGAAGCGGGTAACCCCCCTGGCGGGTCGATGGCCTCTCGGTCCGTCCCGTGGCGACCCAAGAGAACCCGGAGGAAAACGAGGGGGGGGGGGAGCTCTCACCCCCCTGACGGGTCGATGGCCTCTCGGTCCGTCCCGTGGCGACCTAACAGAACCAGGAGGAGGACGAGGAGGAGGAGGAGAAGGAGGAGGGGGAGGGAGGAGGAGTAAGCAGGAGGGGAGGGAGGACTGAGTCAGGCTAGGGAGGAGTGCGAGTGGAGTGGGCGAATTAGGGAGAGCGAGGAGGAGTACGCAAAGGAGGAGGAGGTGAGACGGACGACGGGGTGAGACGGACGATGAGGATAGGAGATGAGGAGAGGATAGGAGATGAGGGAGGAGGCGATGGAAAATGGGTGGAAAAGGGAGGAGGGATTCGATTCAGAATGCATCACGAGTTAGAGGCAGGAGGAGGAGTAGGAGGAGGAGGAGGGGCGGAGGTAAGGCGGGGGGAAACGGAGGAGGGGAGAATGGAGGAGTAAGAAGAAGGATACTATATATCAAAGACAACGACAAAAGCAAGAGGAGGAGAAGAGGATGAGGAGGTGGAGGCGGAGAAGGATGATGATGCATGCTGATGATGATTCTGCTGCTGCTGATGATGATGATGATGATAGATGATGGTGATGACGATGATGATGATGCTGCTGCTGATGATGATGCTGATGCTGATGCGATGCTGATAGATGATGCTTGCTTGCTGTCTGCTTGATGATGATGCTGATGATGATGGCTTGATGATGGATGATGATGATGATGCATGATCTGAGATGATGTTATGATGATGATGTGATGATGATTGATGATGATGAGATGAGAAGAAGGAGGAGAAAAAGCAGGAGGTGGTGAAGAGGGAGCAGGGAGGAGAGAGACCCGGGGGAAGAGGAGGACGATGGAATGACGATGATGAGATTCTGAGAGGATGAGGATGAGGATGAGGAGGGAGGAGATAGTGATGAGGAGGGATGAAGAGGAGGAGAAGGAATGGAGGAGGAGCACAGGTAGGAGAGAGAGGAGGAGAACGAGGAGGAGAGGAGGAGGAGGTAGTAGGATGCTGAGGGATGGTAGGAGGAGGAGGAGGAGGCGTGGCCTCCGCGATGGGGCGGCAGGCTCAGCGGAAGGCTCCGCAAGGCGGCGCCCCGCCTCGAAGACGGGAAGCGCGATGTTCTTCATGGCCTCCGTGTACTCGACCCGCGGCACCTGCCTGATAACCTCTGGCCGGCGGCGGCGAGGGGAGGAGGGAGGAAAAGGAGGTGGTGGTGGTGGAGGTGGCGGTTTAGGTGGAGAGGAGGAGGAAGGAGGCGGAGGAGGAGGATGAGGGAGGAGGAGGAGTGAGGAGGAGAATGAAGAGGAGAAGGAGTAGGAGCAGCAGCGCAGGAGGGCGCAAGAGGTGGAAGGTTTGAGGAGGAGACTGTGGTGAGGAGGGGAAGAAGAGGAGGAGGAGGAGGTGGAGGAGTAGGAGGAGGACCCGCGGCACCTGCCTGCTGACCTCCTCCTCTTCCTCCTTCTCCTCCTCCTCCTCCTCCTTCTCCTTGCTCCCCTCTCCCCTCCTCCTACTCCTGCTCCTGCTCCTGCTCCTGTTCCTGCTCCTGCTCCTGCTCCTGCTCCTCCTCCTCCTCCTCCTCCTTCTCCTCCTCCTCCTCCGTCGCGGAACCCTCGCGGGCATAGCATATTAGACCTGCAGGCGTCGGCAAGGTAGTCCCCTCTCGCCTCCACCTCATCCGCTGCGTGAGATTCCACCCCACCCACTCCTTGAATCTAAGGCCAGGCGGGCAGCAAAGCGTGCGAATGTGTGTATGTTTCAAAAAGGAAGCACATAACAAAAAAACAAGATAGGCAAAGTGCGGACTTGCGAAACACCTTCTGTGTGAACTGGTTGGGCCTGGAACGGCCCAGTGTGGCAGTGTCATGCCCACATGTCTGAATTGCTGCCCTAATCTAGAACGGGCGAAAACCAACTCAACGATGCTTTGCTAATGGTGCGGGCTGCGTCTAGGTATGACTGGCTCGGAGTGCGACTCAGGCTCAGTTTCCCTCGACTCCAACACCTGCCCCTGATATGTACACCTCACCTCCTCCACCCATCCCTACCCTACAGTCGAGACGGCTTGATGTGACTGCTGCTGAGCAGACCAAGTAGGTTAGGAAATGTGCTGCACCAGAGCGTGCTTCGATGGACCGTGCCGGCTGAGAAACTCATGGCCGGCACATCTGTCTGGCTCGCCACATGGCCGGCAAACTGGGCTCCTCATCCTCCTCCTTCTGATCCTCCTCTTCCTCCTCCTCCTCCTCCCGCATCCTCCTCCCGCCCTCCTCCTTCTCCTCCCCCTCCTCCCTCTCCTCTTCGTCTTCCTCCTCCTCCTCCTCCTCCTCCTCCACTCCTTTCTTTTATGAATAACTCCCCCCTCTGTCGCACCCCGAGACGTGTCGGTAGGTCGGACGGATGGAGGGCCAGATATTTTCAACATGTCGATCTCGCCCTAGCGCCGCGCACATTCGCAAGATCTTTACGGATGGAGGGCGGGTCATCTTCAAAATGTGGTTTTCGCCTTAGCGCCGCGCGCGCTTGCGTTTCAAAAGTGTGCAAGAGCTTCACGGATGGAGGGCAGGCCGTTTTCAAACTGTGGCTCTCGACTCAGCGCCGCGCGCATTCGTCTGAAAAGTGTGCAAGAGCGTCACGGGTAGAGGGCGGCTCGTTTTCAAAACGTGGCTCTCGACGCATGGCCGAGCGCGCATTCGCCTCAAAAGTGTGCAAGAGCTTCACGGATGGAGGGCAGGCCGTTTTCAAACTGTGGCTCTCGACTCAGCGCCGCGCGCATTCGTCTGAAAAGTGTGCAAGAGCGTCACGGGTAGAGGGCGGCTCGTTTTCAAAACGTGGCTCTCGACGTATGGCCGAGCGCGCATTCGCCTCAAAAGTGTGCAAGAGCTTCACGGATGGAGGTCAGGCCGTTTTCAAACTGTGGCTCTCGACTCAGCGCCGCGCGCATTCGTCTGAAACGTGTGCAAGAGCGTCACGGGTAGAGGGCGGCTCGTTTTCAAAACGTGGCTCTCGACGTATGGCCGAGCGCATTCGCCTGAACAGTTTGCAAGAGGTTCACGAATGGAGGGCGGGTCGTTTTCAAAATGTGGCTCTGGCCATAGCGCAGCGAACGCCGCGCACATTCGTTTTAAGAGTCCTGCAAGAGTTTCACACATGGAGGGCGGGCGATTCACAAGATGTGATTCTCGCTTTAGCGCCGCGCACATTCGTCTTGAACAACTGCGAGAGTTTAACAGATTCTTATGGTTGACGTTCCAGACATGCTGTTCTGGCACATGGCATTCTGGCGCGATGCAGGACCGGCAGGACGCAACTGTAAAGTTGATTCGCGGCGTTGAAGTCCGGGGAGTGGTGTTTTCGGTACGATTGTTCCCACGGCTGTCTTCTGGCGGGGCACTTCCAGCAGTGACAAGAAAGTCTGGTAGGGACCCACAAACCCAGACCCCCGACGTAATGATTTCTTCATTACGTCGACCCCCAGAGGTCCCGACCCCTTCCCCAGGACCAGTTTGTCATCCTGAGTCGTTTTCTGACGCGCCCGAGGCCCGGTGAGGGCCCCCAGAGGCCGAAAATGGCGAAAAACCTCCCGTCGTGATTTTTTCATTACTCGAGGGGGTCTGGGAAGGGGGTATGTCCTTGGAGGCAGGGTTGTTTGCCCGGCGAGGGCCCCTGGAGGCCGAACACGGCCAGACACCGGCCGCCGGAACTCCGGGGTGTGGCTCCCGCCCCGTATCCTGACCCCCGGTTGGTGCCTCGTGCTTGGCTGTGGTGGGCCAAGGCGGGAGGCGACGACGACGACGGCGGCGGCGACGACGACGACGACGACGACGACGACGACGACGACGGCGACGACGACGGCGACGGCGACGGCGACGGCGACGGCGACGGCGACGGCGCGACGGGGCGTCGGATTCTCTGGGCTGGGGTCGCCACCGCGTCGGCACGACACGAGCCCACCCTGACTCCGGATCCGCCCTACTTGTGGGGAAATTCGCAAGCAGGGCTTGGCATGTCCGCCGTTCTTTTCACTAGCCCCGCGGATGCCAATGTCCGCCCTACTTTTCTGTGGCTGTTTCCGCCCTGCTTCCGTGGACTTCCGCCCTGGTTTATGCTGGGTGCAGACATTTCCGCCCCACTTTTTCGGCTTCTCATGGGTGGATTTCCGACGCAATTGCAAGTAGGAAACAAAAGCCAAAGTAGGGCGGATCTGGAGTCAGGGGACGGCGACGACGACGACGGCGACGGCGACGGCGACGGCGACGGCGACGACGACGACGACGGCGCGACGGGGCGTCGGATCTCTGGGCTGGGGTCGCCACCGCGCCGACACGACGCGAGCCCACCGCCACCCCCAGGAGCTCGGCCCAGCTGCTCACTGAATACAACAAGCCGCCTGCCCAACAGCGGCCGCTGTCGGTTTCGGACGGCACTTGTTGCTGGGCGTTGCCCATCCTAGAGATCCGATTTCGTGATGGTTTGAATGCGGGGTCTCGACCCATTCCCCAAGACCGGCTTCTCCTCCTGCGTCGTTTCTCCACGGCCCCGAGGCCCGGCGAGGGCCCCCAGGGGCCGAAATTTGCGACAATTTTTTGTTATGATTTTTGTCAATACGTTGGATCTCTGGGAATCCTGGCCTCCGAACGTCGGGTTCTTGACGCCCTCGGTCCCGCTCGGACCTCTGGAGGCCTGCACCAAGCCCACGGGGGACCTCCGCAGGGACCTCCGCGGAGAGCTCTCGGGAGACCTCCTGGGGTTGGGACGCAGATGGCACGCCACAGGGACCAGGCGATCGCAAACATGGAGCAAAAGGGGGCGTGGAGTGGCGACGGGCGACGAGATTTGCGAAAAACCTCCGCCCCGATTTGTTTGTTTTCCATGCGTTGGACCTCACTTCGACCCTCGGCAAGGAGGCCCCCCCAGACATGCGGCGTCCTGATTTTTTCAGGACGGTGCCCCTGGAAGTCCCAACCCCTTCCCTGGGGCCGGGTCTTCATCCCGAGTCGTTTTTTCTGACGCTCCCGAGGCCCGGCGAGGGCCCCCCAGGGCCGAAAATGGCCAAAAAATGGCCCCCCCCGTCCTGCTTTTTTCTACGACGCCATCACGTCTGGGCCTGCATCCGTACGCCTGCTCGGGCCGTCGTCTAGCCCCCTACTCGGCGAGGAGGCCCCTGCCCCCGCCGCCCCCCGCCGGGCTGCCGCCGCCGGCCCCCCGCTCGCCCTCCCCGCCCGCCGGCCCTCCGCGGGCCCCCCCCGTCCGCCGGGCCCCCGGGGGGCCGGGGGAGGGCCCTCGCCGAGAGAGGCGGCCGCCGTCCCGCGGCGCGCCAGCTGCGCTCGGCCCTCCCGGGGTGGAGCCGGGATCTCTCGCCTGTCTTCTGCGTGGCATCCTCTCGCGTGCTTTGTCGTTCGCTCTCTTTCTCTCTGTTTGCTTATTTTTTCTCTCTCTCTCTCTCTCTCTCCCTCTCTCTCTCTCGCGCGCTCTCTCTCTCTCATCTCTCTCTCTCTCTCTCTCTCTCTCTCTCTCTCTCTCTCTCTCTCTCTCTCTCTTTCGTTTTTTGATAGATATATATATATATATACACATATATATATATATACATACACATATATATAGATTGTTGTTGTGTGTTTTTTTTTGTTATCTCTCTCTCTCTCTCTCCCCCTCTCACACTGCCTCCCTCCCTCCCTCTCTCCCTCTCTCTCTTAGTCTGTCTCTCTCTCTCTCTGTCTCTCTCTCTCTCTCTCTCTCTTTCTCTCTTTCTCTCCCTCTGTCTCCCCCCGTCTCTGCTGGAACATGCGCACACACGTGCAAATGCCTGCGCATGTTGCCTCTGCAGCGGCACCCGGAACGGCGACCGGCCTCCTCCCTGAGGATCTCGGGGACCTCCACGATCCTCTCGTGGTAGCACACCTGGGGCACCTCCTCGAGCATCTCCTGCGCCAGCCCTACAAGAGGAGGAGGAGGAGGAGGAGGAGGAGGAGGAGGAGGAGGAGGAGGAGGAGGAGGAGGAGGAGGAGGAGGAGGAGGAGGAGGAGGAGAGGGAGGAGGAGGAGAGAGGGACCCAAACAAGAAGGAACGTCAACGGTACGGCGACGGGCGGCCTACACGACACGGAGGAACGGATCCGACACGCCAAAAAGGCGGCAAAACTCGAATCCGACCCGCGCCGAGCAGGGCTTACGAGCCCGAAGACGACTGCCAAAACTTGGCCTGCAAACGGGCCACGAGCGCATCCATTCGAGGATTCCGAATGATGGCAGCAGTGACGGAGGAGGAGGAGGAGACGTCCGCCCACCCAGCCGTCCCACCCACCAACCGCCGAATGAGGTCGGACTCGAGAGGGGTCGGCGCCTGGAGGGTCTCCTCACGCCGACGCGAGTGCGGGTGAAGCCCAGCCTCCAGGCGCCGTCGATCATACGCCCGCTGGGGCGTCAAGGCAGGGCGACAAGTCTTGAAGAGGGCGCCACTCGACCTCTCCTCTGCATAGGCCCCGCATTTACAGCAATACACTAGGACCTGATCGCGTGCCGTCCAGCACGCCCTCAGGACGTGGCCGCCCACCCCTTCACACTCACGCAACTTTACAAGGAGCGGAGGGGGGCCTGGGCACTGATTGAGGGGTCGCTCGTCCTGCTCAGGGCAAGCCCCAAGGCACCGAGCACAACGCAACTTCCAACTCCCCACACGACACCACTCGTGCCACGACACAACACGCGTTATGCTCGGCACCTTGATCTTCTTAAAGGATGGGAGCGGGAAAGCGGGAAGGACCGCCGCCGCCACACGAATGGCGGCGCGGAGGCGTTTGACCATAAGCCCATGCAACTCCGAGGTGGCGGGAGGGGCACGGGGGTGGAGGGAAAGGGCATCCTTGGCTAACAAATCGGCCATCTGGTTGCCACGCGCGATCCTTTCCTCATCAGGTGGGAGCGCGGAGATGACTTCTTCAGAGCGATGGGCACGGGTATGACTAACGTGCCCGATGTGTGCGTGCCCTGGATGCTGGAGCGCACCACGGCGCAGACCAGCAAAAACTTGGGAACCGTTAAGCTGGGCGGGGGCAGGCTTTTGAGTCAAGCGCACAGCGCCCAAACAATCGGAAAACGGCCTCGTGGTCCCTGGGCCCCGTTGGAAGATGGAAAGCATAGCTAGGGCAAGGTGTTCGGCGGACGGCGCCGTCTGGGGTAAGGACTCCCAAACCACACCCTGCATCCTACATCGGACTTCGCACTGCTCAGAATTCTCCAGAAAGACCGCGGCATAAGCCGCTCGATTGAGACGGGCGAATTCAGTTCGAGTTGCACTGCCGTCAACACAAACATCACATCCCGCGCTGAGCTCCTGGAAGGTCTCCTGGGACACAGGGTTGCCCTGGGCATCCTGGAAGACAGGGAACAACTCAGAGGAGGGAGGAGGGAACTCGTCGGGGCGAGGTTGGAACACCAGGAGCCTGGACCACAGGAGATCTCCGGGCTCCTCGCGCGCATCAGCTGCAATCTCTGCCGACGTCGCCTCATCCCTAGCGGCGGCCACAGCAGGGCAGCACCAGAGACGATGATGAATTGAATCTGGCTGGGAGCACAAGGGGCATAGACCTGTTGATTCAAAGCCATGCTGCACAAGGCGGTCCTCGGTCCACATGCCCCCAGCAAAGACGGAGGCTACAACATGCTTTTGCAGCGCCGAGAATTTCTTAGAACGGACAGCTTGGACAATCAAATCTGCGGCAACCTCCTGCCCCTGCCCCTGCGTTAGAGTGGCAGCAAAGCAACGGCCATGATGGCGAAGAATACTAGCATGCAACTGCTTGGCAAGCAAGGCAGGAGAGGTGAAAAACAAATCATGCTCTATCTGGTTGTCATCGAAGAAGGTCTTAAAGTTGGTGAACTTCCATCCTAGGCGATGCAAACACAACATGGCACGGTGAATGGGGCCTGCACTCTTATTCCACTGCGACTGCTGCAAGACTGGAGACTTCGCGGCTACAGCATCCCACGTCTTCTGCAAGAACCTCCACGAGAGCACAACACGATCAGGATGCACAATTGAGTTCCATACTGCCTTGGAATATTGAATGACGGGCGCCACTGCTACCTTCCACGCTGGGTCATCATACAGGAGCATACGAGCGGGTAGCGAGCCTCCTCGGAACGGGACGAGGGCACGTCGTAAAACCAACAACTCTCTCTCCGTCATGCCAGTGACGAGGGAGCCGTACGTAGTCGCAGGGCGCACTCCAGATATATATATCTTGTGAAGTCTGGCCTTGCCAACAGAGAGCCGTCGTCGTAGCGAACGCAGGAAGCCAACACGTCTCTTCATAGCTCGAAACCGTTTCTTCATCCGACACGTAGCGCCAGGCGCAGCACGAGGACGAGCAGGAGCAAAGTCAGCACCGAGCGCAGTGGCAGAGGTCGTAGCAGCCGCTGAGCGAGCACCGATACGAGCAAGCCGTCGATCGAGGTCACGAACGACATCATGGGAAGACCCAAAGACCACCGCCTTGTCGTGGGCGAGGCCAACCTGGAGCTCCTCCCTATAAACGGTGACGAGGTCCTGGGCGGCCTCCACGAGGGCTGGTACGAGGTCTTGTCGGGGGCCCGTCATGGAAACGCAGTCGTCATCAACGTACACGCCGAGGTCCAAGCGGGGGTGCCGCGCCACGAAACCATCTAGGGCCCCGAGGAGGTAGATCTGCACGAAGGCGTCATTGAACACGTCGCCAGCTGGCAACCCAGAGCGGGCAAACTGCACAAGAGGACAGTGATGGGCTCCCAGTCGAACCAGGCGGGGCCCCCTCCAGAAGTTGAACAGGACCTTGACTAGGGGCCGCGGGAGCCCGCACGCCAGCGCACGATCACGCAGGAGCTCCAAGTTAAACGACTCATAGAACTTGAGGCCATCCCACAGAAACCCCGCCGTCTCTTGGTCGATAGCCTGGCCACGTTCAGCGCGGACCGCCGCAAGCCACACTGCCTCCTCAGCTCCCCTGCCTTTTCCAAAGGACCAGTACTTGCGGGAGGACGCTTCCAGGAAGGGCTCCACAAGAGGGCGGCGTGCCTTTTCCCACACTCGCACAAAGGACGCGACGAGCAAAATTGGGCGGTAGCCGCCTTGCGGCTTCTCAAGCAGTGGAAAGAGGAGCCAGAGGAGCTGGGCAGGAAACAAGCCGAGGCGCTCCGAGCACGTGAAAATAATACTGAGCTGCACGAGCGCTGTGTCGCTGAGCATCTCGACATGCCGTGGGTGAAAACCGTCTAGGCTTTGGGCCGTGGATTCCGAGAAAGTCCGAGCCGCCGCACGCAACTGCACACACGTGAGAGCGTCCAGAGCCTCGCGATCGGGAATCCACGCCTCAGGAGGCTCCACCTCCGCATGCCAAAAACCTCCGAGCTTCACGGTCTCCTCCTGTACTAACTGACACGGCTCAGACGTAAACGACCCAGGGACCGAGGAGGAGACCGTGGGCTCCCACAGCTTCTTGATGCGGGTCAGGCGATGCATGCGCCTGGCCGAGCCGCTGAGCGCCAAGATGTGCCACTCCTTCCAGGAGCGGTCTCTGGCTTTGGAGTGCTCCGCCTGGACTTCATCACATTCCGTGGCGAGCTCCTCCGCGAGCGCATCAGCAGTATCCCACCACTCGCTGTCCCCAGGCAAATGCGGAGACCATTGAGTGAGCAGGAGGCGTACTGACGCCAGCGAGCGGTCCAGGCGGGCGCACAAGCCCTCCCCCGCGTGCGAAACTCGCACCGCCAGGAGATGGTGAGCGCCTTCACCCGAGACCCAATCAACATCATCACGACGCGTGAGAGACAAAAACTCACTGAGCATACCGCACATCCATTGCCAACAGTTAGCCACCAGCGTGCCATCATCGGGCTCCTGTCGGCGATGGACGATAGGCTCCCAGACTGACTGCACGCGAGCTCCTCGCCACCCCGCACGGGTGGTGGGGAGATCGCAAACGTCAAGTAACTCCTGCTCGGCAGCATTGGCAAAGAGAGACCACACTTCATTCATGAGAGCCCAGGCCTCCTGAGAGGAGCCATGCTCAGACAAAAACTGCAGCTTGGGCAGGAGGCGCTCTGACAACGCCCACGGGGGAGGGGGACGAGGACAGCCGATCGGGAGGTGGGTGGGGATTCGACTGTGACGCCGAAAGACCAACTGACGGACCTGAAGTGCATTAGCACGCAGCTCAAGCAAAACAGGACGGTGCGGTCTAACATGCCACGTGCTGTCCACAAAGATGCTGGCAGCCAGCGTAGACAGAGCATGCCCTACAACGAAGAAATCAATCGTGGACGTAGACGAACTGGTACGGCAGGTGATTGCAGCAGGCGCCATGATGACGGCCTTGACCTTCTGCACAAAGCCCGTGGCCTCGACGGCGGCAGGTGAGTTGTTCCAATCTGCCGCAATGACCGTGAGCGGAGGCTGGATGATCTTGGCGCCGATCGCGCTGAGCATGGACAGATTCTTCTCACGCATGCCGTCATTGACGTGGAAATAGGCACACACGATGTTGAACGAGAAACCAGGGAGGTCAATGGTAACCTGTATGGCACGATGTGGCACAATAGCCTTGCACGCTGGGTCAGTCCATCGCAAGCCAAACCCATCACGAACAAAAACTCCAACCCCAGCCGAGCACCTCTGCGTCGCGGGGTTGAAGGACGACTCACTGATGAGGAATCGCCAGCCCAGGGCGCGCACCGCGGCCAGGGACTGGGGCGCTGTGAGCTCGGACAAGCCAAGCTCCTGGGCGCACACGATGACACTGGTAGTCGTGGTGAGCCGCTCACGTAGCGTGGACCACCCAGAGCCATTGAAAGTCTCGATGAACTGTGTCGCCGTCGATGTCGGCGGCAACTTCTTCCTGCAAATCGGGGGTATTGGTAGCCTCATACACGACAACGGCAGGCCACAGACCCGCGGGTGTACTGCACCATGGTGAGGATCACCCCCGCCGCTGCTTCTTGGTGACGAGGCCGAGGGACTTGAACAACTCCTGGAGCTCCCGTTTGTCACCAGCAAACTTGGTAGTGGAGATGACCTGGGAGATGCCTTCCTCGTCGACGTCAAGGTACACATCATCATCCTCAGGGACGGGAACCGATTCACCATAGTCGGTGCCCTCATCCCCGACGGTTGGGCCAGCGGCGGCTGCCTGGGCGGCAGCAGCCGCACGCACAGCCTCCTTGAACTTGTCAAAGACAGGCGACTCCACCATGGCCTTGAGGTCGGCGTCGGCCTCCAGCACGGTGGTCGGGAGGTCGGGCAGCACGAAGGAGGTAGCATCACTCCCTTCAGGGCGCAGGTCCTTAGGGCAAGACTCGCGCAGCTCCTCCTGGAGGGTAGCCACCAGGTCCTTGGCGGCCAGCACCTTGGCCCTGAGCTCACGGAGGTGCTCCTCGGCGGCCTCGACGACCTTGACCTGCGCACTGACGTCGGACTCGAGCTTCTGATGGCGCTTGATCGCATCCTGCAGCTTGTGCCCGAGGGTGGTGTGGCGTGCAAGTTGTGGCTTGGCATCATTCCGAGCCTTGCGCGCCGCGGCCAGAGACTGCTCGGCACTGACACGGCTGGGGACGTCAGCGCCCAAGCCAGACTTGGCGAACTGGGTAACGATACCTTCCCAGCGCTGTACCTCAAGATCGAGCGGATCGGGCGGAGGCGCAGGCACGGGAGTGGGCACGGCCTGGGACTTCTGGAGGGCGGCGTACTTGCGCTTGAGCTCGGCGAGCTCACGGGCGATGCCACCATCCACACTGCCTGGCGGTCCTGCCGCCCACGCACTCCCAGCACGGCGGCGACCACCTGCAGCCCCAGGAGCATGAGACGGCCCACCGGCTTCCATCTGCTTGGCCGCCTTGCGCGCCTTGTCTGCGACAGACTGCGGGGCAGGGCGGCCGCATCGGCACCGAATGCGCGATGCATAGTTGGCGGACGCGCCGCAGGACGGGCAGCCCCAGAAGGGGCGGGTCGGTCCTGGCAGCACATCATGAGCGGGACTGGCCATCCACCTGTGCGGGGGTGGATGGGAGCGAAAGAAAAGGCTCGCAGGCGCGCTGCCGCTCCGAAGAATGGCACCTGCAAGGCGCGCGAGAAACCTCGCGAGCCCGAAGCGGCTAGGAGGAGGAGGAGGAGGAGGAGGAGGAGGAGGAGGAGGAGGAGGAGATGGAGGAGGAGGCAGGAGGAGGAGGCCCCGCTCCAGCGCGGTGCGGTGCACAGCGTCTGCGGCCCTGGGTGCCGAAAACCATGCTCGGCGGCGGGCGATGGGGGGGGAAATGAGACGGGGCGGGCCTTGTCAGAGGGCTCGGAAGCCCCCCCCCGGCCTTCTGAGGAGTTCTCTGAACCTTCCCCGAAGACGCCAGAAGCCTCAGCAGGCGCGAGGGGTTCTGAGGAGTCCCGCCGCCCTCTTGAGAGGGCCTTCTCCCTCTCACCTCCCCCCCTCGCTCGCCGCCGATACATGCACCGTGCCACCGCGTGCACGACGGGCACCCTCTGCGACCGCGCCTTCCCCTCCTCTCTTCCAGGCTGCTTCTCGTCCCTCCCCAGCTCTGCCCCCCCCCCCCCCCTTCCTCCTCTCCTCCTCCTCCTCCTCCTCCTCCTCCTCTCCTCCTCCTCCCTCCTCCTCCTCCTCCTCCTCCTCCTCCTCCTCCACTGCCTTCCCTGTCCCTTCTTCTCCTTTTCCTCCTCCTCCTCCTCCTCCTCCTTCTGTTCCGCACTTCCCTGACCCTCCCACTCCGCGCCCTTGTGCCCTTGCTCCTCCTGTTCCTCCACCTCCCCCTCCTGCTGCCCATGTTCCTCCTTGTGCCAGTTCCATCCGCCTCATCAGATTCCTCCTCCTCCTCTTTTTCCTCCTCCTCCTCTTTCTCCTCCTCCTCCTCCTCCTCCTCCTCCTCCTCCTCCTCCTTCTCTTCCTCATCTTCCTTTTCCTCATGTCCCCTCCTCCTCCCTCCTCCTCCTCCTCCGCCTCTTCCTCCGCCTCAGTCTATCCCACCCATGGTAGCGATTGCTGTACATCGAAATGTGCACGCCTGCTCCGCCACCTGGCCGGCCGACAGGACGTTCCTTCCCACCTGCCCAAGCAACGAAATAACAAGTCAAGCTTGTTCCGTCTCGACACGGACGGACATTGCGCCGTCCGTGTTGCAAAACGCGTGGCGGGAACGGGGCGGGTCGCACATCCCGCGCGAGAGGCCGACACATCGCTCCCGCATCGGCGCCGCGCTCATCCCTCTAGAGGCTGAAGTCTGCCCGAAAGTGACGCTCCCGCCCTCGTGCGCGCTGCGCCGAGGAGGGAG